GGAAAAAAAATCCCTGAGAATCTTATCTCCAATTAACCAGCAACATGTAGGAAGTAGAAAGGGCCAGCCTTGAGTGAAAAAGTCCAGGCACAACACTCAGGCCCTGAGTTCAAGCCCTAGTACACACACACACACACACACACACACACACACACACACACACACACACACACACACACTCACACGCCCCTTCATTCCTCAGCCTTCCTAGGGTTCCAGCTTTAGTGATGATAGTATCTAGGAATGGGGAATGGGGCACTCATGAGCCCTGGGATGGGATGTAGAAGGAGGTAGGTTTTCCTAACTCTGGGGCTTGCAACCTTCCTTCCCACAGCTCAGCCCTTAAGATAAATGGTCATTTACTACCTCTGAGCATGAGGCTGGCAAAGTGTTACACACTGTTCATACAGAGCCCTCCAAGAAGGACCCTCTAATGTAGGTGTAATGACTACCATCCCGAACAGAGCCAGGGCCCTGGGACCCCAGGCCTGCCAGGCCTCTGAAATTACCCCTTTAAAAATCCAAGCCTTAATTCCAGATTCCCAGAACCCAGTACTTTTGCTCTCTCTCTGTCTCCCTCCCCTCCCCCCCCTCTCGTCAGTTGTGGGGCTTGAACTCAGGCCTGGGTACTATCCCTGAGCTTCTGCTCAAGACTAGTGCTCTAGCACTTTGAGCCACAGCTACACTTCCAATTTTCTGTTGGTTAATGGAAAGAAGAGTCTCATGGACTTCCCTGCCCTGGCTGGCTCTGAACCCCTCAGATCTTAGCCTCCTGAGTAGCTAGGATTAAAGGCATGATTAAAGGCACCCAGCTTCTTGCTCTTTTTTTCTTTTTCTTCTTCCCTTCCTCCCTGCTCCCTTTATTTCTTTCTCTACTCTTCCTTCCTTCCTTCCTTCCTTCCTTCCTTCCTTCCTGCCTTCCTGCCTGCCTGCCTGCCTGCCTGCCTTGCCTTTCTTTCTTTCTTTCTTCCTTTTTCTCTCTCTTCCTCCTCCCTCCCTCCCTGTCTTCCTTCCTTCCCTCCCTGTCTGTCTTCCTTCCTTCCTTCCTTCCTTCCTTCCTTCCTTCCTTCCTTCCTTCCTTCCTTCCTTCCTTCCTTCCTTCCTTCCTTCTTTTCTTTCCACTCAGGGCCAGGGCCCAGGTGCTACCCCTTAGGCTTTTGTGAACCACAGCTTCACATCTGGCTTTTTGGTGGTTGATTGGAGATAAGAGTCTCACAGACTTTCCTGCCTGGGCTGGCTTCAGACTTTGATCCTCTAATCCCAGCCTCCAAGGTATTTAGGATTACAGGGGCGAGCTACTGGCACCTGGCTTACCCTCACTCTTGCTCTGAGGATACTTGGCCTATGGGAATGCCCACCTCTGGCAAGCCTCATGGTGATGGCCTTCCAGCTCCAAATGTCCCCAGGAGAATGGTGCTGAGCCTAAGGAAGGCTGTTGCCAGACCCCTTTCAGTGGCCCAAGCCAGTAGGTGACTGAGTCCCCTTCACCTCTTCCCACTGAGGACCCACTGGTGGGTGGGCCGTGGCAGTGGCCTCTCCCTGCTGATCACCCTGGGGATGGAAGTCCCCAGGGCCGGTGGGACGAGCTCGGTGCCCACATTGCTCAGCCTGCCCTGAGTCTCTCTGCAGCCCCATCAGGGCTGCCCAGCTCAGGCCTGGTGGGTGGGGTGCCCCAGCTGGACCAGGCCAGAACTAGAGGGAGTCCCTGCCCTGCTTGGCAGAAGCAGAATGGAGCCAGTGTTTACGGGGCTGGCGCACAATGGGCTGCCCCTTCACGGGGAGTGTTCTGGTTCATATTAACGGGTCCCCGTGCTGGCTGGAAACCAGCAGCAGCCAAGAGACATCATTGTCCCAACCCTGAAGACTTGATATCCTTGGGGACAAGCTGGACAACCCAGGGAGAGACCTGGACTATGAGGCTTTTTTTTTCTTCTCCTGAGCTCTCCAGCTTGTCAAGTGGGGTGAGGAGAGGGGGGGGGCAGAGGGGAGGGGTGTGACCCAACAGTGTTGGGGACTCTGACAGGTGACCATGGGTCAACATCAAAGGACTCTCCCTAGCAGAGTGGCTCCCTCCTGCTACTTAGGAGGCTGAGATCCACAGGATTTTTTTATAGTTTGAGACCAGTTCAAGCAATGTCCTTTACACTCCATCTCCAAAATAACCAGCAAAAAAAGCAGAGCTGGAGGCCTGGCTCAAGTGGTAGAGTGCCAGCCAAAAAAGCAAACACAAGAGTGTGAAGCCCTGAGTTCAAGCTTCAGTAATGATTCTTTTTTAAAGCTGTCTTTAAGTGCCAGGCATTGATTGGGTGGGTGAGCATACTGTATGGCCAGCAAGGTCTTTAGAAAAAGCATCATGACTGTTGGCCCCATTCAAAGAAGGGGCAAGGGCGGCGCCGGCAAACAAATAACTCCCACCCAAAGCCACCCAGATGGCAAACAGCACAACCCATTCTTTTTTTTTGGGGGGAGGGTCCGGTTGTAGGGCCTGAACTCTGGGCCTGGACGCTGTCCTTCAACTCTTCAGCTCAAGGCTAGCACTCTACCACTTGAGCCACAGCGCCACTTCCAGCTTTTTTTTTTCTGCTTATGTGGTGCTGAGGAATTGAACCCAGGGCTTCAGGCATGCAAGGCAAGCGCTCTACCACTGAGCCACCTTCCTAGCCCAAGCACAACCCATTTTGTACTGCACATGCACACACTGCTCTGCTGGGCTTGGCCTGGATCTCCCCCAGACACCCCTTCTTATCTGGAGGTCTTTGAAGGAGAGAGGGGCTAGGCACCAGTGGCTCATGTCTGTAATCCTAGCTACTCAAGAGGCTGAGGTCTGAGGACCACGGTTCAAAGCCAGCCCAGGCAGGAAAATCTGTGAGACTTTTATCTCCAATCAACCACCAGAAAATGGAAGTGGCTCTATGGTTCAAGGGGTAGAGCAGGTACTTTGAGCTGAAGAGTTAAGGGACAGCACCAGGCACAGAGTTCAAGCCCCACAACTGACAAAAAAAAAAAGGGCAACCACTCTACCAGTTGAGCCACAGTGCCACTTCCAGTTTGTGTTGGTTGATTGGAGATAAGGCTCTCACAGACTTTCCTGCTTGGGCTGGTTTTGAACTGCAATCCTCAGATCCCAGCCTCCTGAGTAGCTAGGATTACAGGCATGAGCCACTGGCACCCAGCTAGAGCACTTGCCTTGAGTTGAAGAGCTGAGGGACAGTGTGCAGGCCCAGAGCTCAAGCTCCACGATGGATAAAAAATTAATAAGGAGAGAGGGGGACAAATCAGCTATCTCAGCTGAAGGAAGAGACGAGGTGGGGAAGGTACCTGCTGGGGAACCCCAAGGAGGCTGTGCTTTGGATGACAGTCCAGCCCCAGGGACCTTGGCCCAGGTTCCTCAGGTGTGTGCATACCTTTCTCTGAATCATAGGATACCATTTCAACCTTGGATCCTCCAGCTCCACCCACCGCCCTGGCATTCCCGGAGAAGCCAGCCACAGTGCCAAAAGGGGCCACTGTCAGGCCTATGCCACCAGGGCATCCAGCCTGTACCTGCTGCCCCCGCACTGTGACCACCACAGCACCTGAGTCTTCAACTGTCTGCACAAGAAAACATCCCAGCCATGTCTCCACAGTAAGACCTAACTCACGTCCAGTTTCAACTCACACCTTTAAAATTTTTTTTTATTTTGTATCAGTCAGTACTGGGACTTGAACTCAAGGTCTGAGCACTGTCGCTTAGCTTTTTCACTCAAGGCTGGCACTCTTCCATTTGAGCCACAGCTCTACTTCCAGGTTTTTGGTGGTTAATTGGAGAAAAGAGTCTCTGGACTTTCCTACCCAGGCTGGCTTCAAATTACAACCCTCAGATCTCAGCCTCCTGAGTTGCTAGGACTACAAGGGTGAGCACTGGCACCTGGCTATCATCTCATGCATCAACATCTTACCTCTCTTCTCTTCCTCCTCCCCCCCTTTCCTGCTTGAGCCACACTGGTCTTTCCTGTTATGCAATTGTACATAATCCCTCTCACCACAGCTCCACATGGGTCTTTATACCTGCAGGTTTCTTCTATTACACCTGTAGACCAGACTAGCCTCAAATTCAAAATCCTCCTGCCTCAGTTTCCTGAGTGCTGGGATTATAGATGTGCACCGCCATGCCCAATTCAAGTACCATGTCTTAAGGGAGCCCTCCTCAGCCTCCAGGACTAGGTCACCTCACCCACTTACTTTCCTGGCACTTCATATTTTTGTTCTTGCTGCCCTCAGCTGCAAACCCTCACTTGTTTCAATTCTTTGATGAGTGCCTCATTGCCCCACACTGGACTATCACTAACAGAGGGAGGGAAGGCTCATTCCTATTCACAGTAGTTTCTAGCACCTTGATAAACACTTCTGATCTCATGTGCCGTGCCTTCCTGCATCACAGTGACATAAGGAGCAAGAGAACAGCTATCATAGGCTGGGAATGTGGCTTGGTGGTAGAGTGCTTGCCTAGCATGCATGAGGCCCTGGGTTTGATTCCTCTGTAACACATACACAGAAAAAGCCTGAAGTGGTGCAGTGGCGCAAGTGAGCAAAAGAAGTTCAGGGACAAGGTCCAGGCCCTGAGTTCAAGCCCCAGGACTGGCACAGAGAGACAAAGAGGCAGAGAGAGACAGAGAGACAGAGAGAGACAGAGAAAACAGCCATTGCGGGCTTAAGCAAACACAAACACCTTGAAGATGCTCTGATCATAAGGAAATGTATGCCCAGGGAGCAGCAGAGAAGCCATGGGTACCTGGCACCTAGGCCAGGACTCCTCTCAGCCTTCCTTGGACCAATCTAAGAAATCTAAAAAGGCAGAAGAGCCCTTGGCTTCCTCAACACTGCCCGCAATGGCCCAGCCAGAGTTCAGGGAACAGAGAGAGGCAGTGCCCTGAGCCAAGAGCCCTTTCTGCCCCTAGCAGGTGCACCAACCATCTGAGCAGGTCTCCCCTCCTGCAGTCCTGGCTGTGAGCCCTGCATACCTGCTCATCCACCTTGTGGGCAATGAGGGTGGCTCCTTCCTCCAGCTCCGCCACACTGATGGGTCGAACCCTGAGAGCCACCTGGGGATGGGTGGGGGGGGAGAGACCAGGGGCCTGGGGTTAGATAGATGTCCCAGACTAGGCTACACAGGGAAGGGTGAGCGGGCCTCAGGATTCTCTCCCCAAAGCAAGCCTCTGGGTTCTCCTTGGGACCACATGTCCCAAGGAAAACTCTGAAAGTCAAGTTCACTGTCCAGGTCAGAGGGCAGCAGGTTCACAAGATGTCAGGCTGTGTCTGAGCCCAAGTTGCAGGGAAAGCCTCGAGGGAGGGAACTGTGCCCAGGCTGCATCAGTCACACACCCGAATTAAACACCTGGAGCTCCCTTGGGCTTGACCCTGGAGCCTTCCCAGGCTGCTGGCGCCTCTGTGGATGCTTGGGGATGACGGGGGTTAGGATTAGGATAGCATGATGGTCTTCCCCCTCACGCCAATGACCTGTGACCACATCCTGATTGCTCCCAAGGGGAATGGCACCATCTCTACTCTCTAGCCAATAAAAGACAATAGGTCTTCATCAAGTGCATGGGTCTCCCAAAGAATGGCGTGGGGGATGGGGTTGTGCTGCTCCAAGAGAAACAGCTGCTGGCGTGGGGGTGGAACTAAGGAGCCCTCTCCTCACTTTAGAGGCAGCTGCACTGCCTAGCAGATCATATTTATCAGCCTCCCGGGAGGACTCCAATGGGGAGAGGAGGGGGAAAGAAAGGGAGAAGGAAAGGAGGGAAGGGGAGAGGAGGGGGGCAAGGCCCTGGTCCGTGCCTGGCCAGTGCACAGTACACAGGGCTGTTTCAAACAAGCCCTTTTCCACTGCTAGAGAGGATGCTTCACAGCCTGGATCTTGCCTGTGGCTCCCACCAAAGCTTCCCTTTGCAGGAGTTAAGGCTGCCCTGCAGAAGTGGGGTATCAGGGATAACATTAGCCTGTAGGTGCAAATGAGGCCTGGGGATAGGGCTTGGAAAGAAAGACTCCCATATCTACCCACATCTTGTGGAGGGGTCTCCCCCTCATCCTTCCATCCTGGTATCCCTGATGACCTGGAATCTTGGCCTTCAGTCTCTACCTGTCCACCCTCCCTCCCACCTCCCCATTCAATTCCCAGGCTCCCTGGGCTCTGGGGGCCATGGAGGTTGCATCCAGTGCTACTCTGAGGTATTGGTCCTGACTTTGCCTGCCATGGATTAACCCACTCCAGAGCCCAGGGCACACCCTGGGCTCCCGGATAACAGATCTCACAAGGCTGGGATTCCTTCTGACGGACCCATCAGGAGACCCCTGCTTCCCTTCTCAGGCAGTGAGGCAGATCTGTCTTGGATGGGGGAGCTGTCTGCCCCAGTGGAGACCGAGGGGGAATGTTGGAGGGAGGCCAGGCTGACTTTCTAGACTCAGGAGGACACCATAACCTCCTAGACACCTGTTCTCTAGGACTTGGGCAAAGTTGCCCTGCGCAGTCCCAGCTCCTGTCCCTCGTCCCTTAGGGGACACTGCCTGTATGTGTGGGGGTCTGGCTGGGTTCAGGGATGGTGGAGGTAAGGAGGAGCGAGATTAAGGGAGTCTCACCATGAGTTGCTGGTCCTTGGAGTCCCCACCGTCCTTCATGCTTGCGGAGGGTGGCGGGGCTCAGGCCGGGACAGAGGGCATGGCCCAGCCGTACCCCCACCTCGGTCTGACTGGGTCGCTCTTGGCGGCTGCTGCTGCTGCCTGACAACCCGAAACCAACAACGCGCCCGCGGCCCGGGGAGCTGACCAGGAGGCGGGGCCCCGCCCCCGCGCCCCGCGAGGCCACGCCCCGAGCGGCGAGACCCCGCCCCGGACCCAGCGAGGCCACGCCCTTGTGTGAGCGAAAGCCCGGTCCCCTACCCGCGAGACCCCGCCCCGAATGCTCGCTGAGCCTGGTGGTGCGCAGGCCCAGGGCCCCAAGTCTATTGAATCCGCCTCCTGGCGTCCGTTTGCTTAGCCCCTGAGCTCCTGCTCACGCTCCCCGGGCCCCGGGCTAAGCACCTGGGCGTCCTTGGGCCCACCTCGCGGCCCCCGCCCCTCAGGCCGCTGTTTGCTGCCTCCAGGGCGCGGCTGGCGCCTCCCGTCTCCATGCGCGCCGCGGGCATCGCGGGGGTGGCCCGTGCCCCGCTCCAGGCGCAGGGGAGGTGGGCAGGCCGGGCGAAGGGCTGTCCCTGCCCACGGGGGCAGCGCTGGCTCCGCCCCTCGGTGCTCCCCACTGTGGCACAAAGCCTCAGGCTCACACCCAGAGGCCAGGCCTTCAGGCCTTAGGTGGACAGGCCGGGACCTGGCCCTCGCCTGGCTTCCTGCCTACTGGAGGAGTCCAACCCCGGGCAAGGAAGTCAGACGCAGCGTGCTCCATTCCTGGTGACAATGGCAACGATGACACACACTCAGGGCGCACAGTGGAAAAGCTTCCTGGCCTCAGGAGGCCCCAGGAAAACAGGATTGCAGCCCCAGCCCTCGGCCTCTGGGAGCTTTGCTTTCCTGCCGCCTCCTGGCCCATTTCCTAGATGATGTGGTGGGGCGGGCAGGGGGAGGGGGTTCTCTGATACTGGTGGTTGGTCTTGGGTGTCATCTGTCCCTCACTGAAGCAGAGCCCAGAAGCCCCTGCACAGACCAGAGAGGAGGTCTTGATTGGGGGACGGTGTCATTTCCCAGAGAAAGAGCTGGGAAAGGTAGCGATCACATCCCTCGGGGCTGTCTCAGATGCCCCGCTCGCACCCAGAGGCAGAGTGTAGTGCCAGCCTGGGCCCTGGGACTGGCTTCCTGGGCTGCCCCTGAGGAACCTGTGTTAGGATAGCTATTAATAAACAGAAGCAGGAAGCAGCTGGTGGCCTCAGGTTTGAGAAATACATAGACCAACTAAAAGGATCTGTAGAAACAGAACCCTGCTTGGGGGACCAGGAGTCACCAGACTTTCTGCTATTCTCTGGTTCAGGCTGCTGTCTGGCGCTGGCAGATTTCAAAGGGGCATGCTACCCCAGGAACTAGGTATAGTTACAAGTGTGCCATGCTTTTATGTGTTTTGTTTTTGGTGCCAGTACTGGCATGTGAACTCAGTCTGTGCTCTAACTTGGCTTTTTTGCTGAAAGCTGGCACTCTGTGAGCCCCTTGACACCTCCACTTCTGTTCTTTTGTTTTTGCTTTTGGGTTTGTGTGTGTGTGTGTGTGTGTAGCTAATTGGAGATAAAAGTGTTACAGATTGTTCTGCCCAGGCTAGTTTTTAATTAGGATCCTCAGAGCTGAGCCTCCTGAGTAGGTAAGATTATAGATGTGAGTTGCCATCGCCAGCCTCATGCTTCAGTTCTAGATCCCTGAATTGACTCTATTTGGATAAGTCATGGAAGCCCCTGGTCAAGTGGTTTTATTGGTAATATTTATTTTCCTTTATAAAAAAAATTCCTCCATGTGCATAAATCCTACCCAGAATATGCTAGGAAGATTAATGGGTAGTATAAGCAGCTTTTAAGGAAAGATTGCTAGAGTTTTATTACTTGAGCTGCTCTTTCTCCACAGCTTTTTGTAGTATATTTTTAATCATTGTGTATGTGAGAGAGAGGGAGAGAGAATGTGTGTGTGTGTGTGTGTGTGTGTGTGTGTGTGTGTGTTGGTGCTGAGGCTTGAACTCAAGGCCTGGGCAGTGTCCTTGAACTTTTTCACTCATGGTTGTCACTCTACCCCTTGAGATACACAGCTCCACTTCTGGCTTTTTTGGTGGTTTCATGAAGCCTTCTTCCCTGTTGTCTCTAACTTACTTCTGTCTCGTTTCTTTCCATTCTCCATGTCAGACCCTCCTCTCCTCCTCCATAAAACTGCTTACACTCTTCCAGGGCCATCCACTTTCCGAGGGAGACACACAAGCGCTGGGCGCTGGGTACACGCTGCCCACACACGTGCTCTGGAATGTGCTCACTCAGCCTGCCCCTTTGCTTCTGTCCCTCCTCTCTGTCCCCACTGCACTGCCTTCAGGCTGTGACTTCAGTCTCACTTCTCAATGACGCCAGCAGCTTGCTGGGCCTCTCTATCTCCTTTTCTCTCTTCCCATCACTTGCCATAGCCTTTCTGTTCTAAAGGCAGCACTACTGTAACCTCCCTGGAAATCCTACGGTGGCTCCCCATTGCCTTCCAAAATGGAGTCTCCCCTTTACCTAGCATCTGGACCTCCCCTGCTTCATCATGCCCCCCCCCCCCCCGTCCCCCTTCCAGCCTCCCATCCCCCACCTCTGCTGTGGTCAGGCTCAGCCATAGCTGTCCTTTAGGCAAGTTCCTGCCGCTCTGTCCTGGAGATCCCTCTTGCGTGCAAGTCTAGTCAAAGTAACTCAATGTGTCCCCCACTCTTAGGACACCAGGGATAATAGCCTGGGTTCTTCCTAATACCTTTTTTTCTTGAGACAAGATCTTGTTATGTGTAGCCCTGCCTTGGTTCCATATATGCTAGGATATGCTAGGATTACAGGCATGTGCCACCACATACGCGCCTGTGTGTGTGTGTGTGCTGGTACTGGGGCTTGAACTTAGAGATTCTCACCTTTGCTTGGCTTTTTTGTGCAAGGCTAGTACTCTACCACTTGAGCCACAAGCTCCACTTCTGGCTTTTTGGTGGTTAATTAGAGTTAAGAATCTCACAGATTATTCTGACCAGTCTGGTTTTGAACCTCAATCCTTACATCTCAGCTTTCTGAACAGACATGGTTATAGGCATGAGCCACTGGTGCCTGGCCATTACAGCTATTTTTATTTTTATTTTTTGTGCCAATCCTGGGGCTTGAACTTAGGGTCTAGGCATTGTCCTTTTGCTATTTTTTGCTCAAGGCTCTACTACTTGAGCCACAGCTCTACTTCTAGTATTTTTGGTAGTTAATTGATGATAAGTCTCTTGAGCTTTGCTGCACGAGCTGACTTCAAACTGGGATCCTCAGATCTCAGCCTCCTGAGTAGCTAGGATTTCGGGCGTGAGCCACTGATGCTCAGCCGTTATAGCTATTTTTATTTTTGCCAGTCCTAGGGACTGAACTCAGGGCCTAGGCACTGTCCTTGAGCTTCTTTTGCTCAAGACTAGCATTCTACCACTTGAACCACAGCTCTACTTTTGGCTTTTTCTGTGTATGTGGTACTGAGGAACTGAACCCAGGCTCTATATATGCTAAGCAAGCATTCTACCACTAAACCACATTCCCAGCCCAATTACAGCTATTTTCTTCTTTTTTCTCTTTCTTTCTTTCTATCGTTCTTTCGTTGGTTGTGGGACTTGAACTCTGGGTCTGGGCACTGTCTCTCAGCTCTTCAGCTCAAGGATAGCACTCTACCACTTGAGCCACAGCGTCACTTCTGGCTTTTTCTGTTTATGTGGTGCTGAGGAATCGAACCCAGGGCCTCATGCATGCAAGGCAAGCACTCTGCCACTGAGCCATCTTCCCGGCCAGATTACAGCTATTTTTAAAGAGTGCTCTGGATCTTTGCCAAGGTCCGCTGACCACCACAGAATTAATGACAGTCGGGGACTTCACCAGGCACAATATTGACTCTGAGATGCCTTCACCCTACCTACTGCTCTACTGAGTGTGGCTTGAGGGCATGCCCATGGCTGTCCACCCATTGTCTACCTGGAGTCTCAGCAGCCCTGAGCAACTGCCTCCCGGGGTGGGGAGTCAACTCCTGGGCTCCCATCCAGTCTGCTCCTCACTAGCCCTGTGGCTGAGGGCCAGTCTCTGCACCTCGCCTGCAGCCTCCCATTTTCTTCTCTGCAGAATAAAGACAGTTGTAGCAAGAACCTTCCAGAAGATTCGAAAGAATTACACGAGCACCTTCAAAAAGCATTCAGGGCAGGACACGTAACCAGCACTGTTGACATGGTGATTATTGATTTAGTTTTTACAAGAAGTAAGGTAATAAAACATGCGCGTGTATGAGGTCGTTCAGCCCCCGCCCCTCCTACTCCCACACATTCCACAGGGGACCTCTGATACGGTGGTGAGCCAAAATGCTGAGAGGGTTGCTTAGAAAGGCCTCTATAGACATGGGCAGTTTTCCTGGTCAGCAGGTAGATGGAGGGGAATCGAAAGCAGGGAGGAGGAACCCTTCTTCCCCCTCTGCAGGAGTTTCTGAGAGCTGGCCATGGCTGGTGCCAGTCCATCGGAGCTTGCACACTTCTGAAGGTAGATGATTGTTGGGGAACAGATGAGAAACAGACTCTAAGGAAATACCTTGGACCAGACCTGAGGCTGTGCACCCTAACATGGAGTGAGCGTTAGGGCGGCCGAGGCAGAAGAGCTGGCCTAGGAACAAGCCCTGTGGGTCTGTGTCTTTCCTCCCTACAAAGGGGTGTTCAGGGCCCCAGTGCACCCCCACTATGATGCTTTAAGGGAGATGCTCAGCTCCCCACTGTAAGACCAGGGAAATGCCAAGAAGGGGGTGAGGAGTGGACCCTGCGGGCGGCGCTGCGGTGGCTACCTAGGCTGGGGACTCTTCGTTGCTCTTAACTTCCTCCCCTGCTTCCTCCTCTACCACCTCTTCTTCTGTCTCCAAGATTAGTGGCTTCTGAGGAAAGAGCAGAGGAAAGTTGGAAAGAGTCAAAAGCAGCCAACTTGTAAGGGGTGTGGAGGAGGTGGGCAGGGCCAGGAGAATCTGCCAGGAGGCTCCCTTCTGTCATGTACAGCTTGAGCAGTCTGGAGCCTGTTCCTCCTGGGTACCTTGGCACCATCATCTGTAATGTGGACCTGGCACCCTGAAGGCCTGGGCTAGCATCAGACACAGGGCGTGAGAAGCCAGCACAGAGAGCAAGGCCTCAGTCCTGGGAGACGCTCTCTGACCTCAGAATTTTGAGCCAACTGCTGAGACTAAGCAAGAGAGGAGGAAGCTGGGCACCAGTGGTTCACGCCTGTAATCCTAGCTACTCAGGAGGCTGAGAGCTGAGGATCATGATTCAAAGCCAGCCTGAGCAGGAAAAGTGTGAAACTGTGTGTGTGTGTGTGTCTGTGTGTGTGTGCTCTGGTCCTAGGGCTTGAACTCAGGACCTGGGTACTGTCCCTGAGCTACTTTTTGCTCAAGGCTAGTGCTCTACCACTTGAGCCACTGCTCTACTTAAGATAAGAGTCTCACAGCCTTTCCTGCCCAGGTTGGTTTTGAACCTTGATCCTCAGCTCTCAGCCTCCTGAGTACTTAGATGCCCAGCCAGATGCCATCTTTACAGCTCAATCTCCTCATTTTCCCAGATGGAAACTAAGGGACCAGGAAGTAAAGCAATTAGCTCAGGCAACAGAGGAAAAAAAAAAGTGTTTTAGAGCTGGAGCAGAGGGCAAAGGCACAATTCAAGCTTCTGACACCAGACCAGCACACCCAATAAGAATGGCAGCCCTTGCTGGGCGCTGGTGGCTCATGCCCATAACCTAGCTACTCAGGAGGCTGAGATCTAAGGATTGCGGTTCAAAGCCAACCTGGGCAGGAAAGTCCGTGAGATTCTTATCTCCAATAAACCACTAGAAAACCGGAAGTGGTGCTGTGGCTCAGGCGGTAGAGCGCTCGCCTTGAGCTGAAGAGTGCAGGGACAGCGCCCAAGCCCAGAGTTCAAGCCCCACGACCGACCAAAAAAAAAAAAAAAAAGAAAGAAAGAATGGCAGCCCTTTCCTCCACGGGACTCAAGGCTCCAGCTCCTTGGATAACTCATGGATCCTAGGTAGCTCAGCACCCATGTTCAAGGTGCATCCTCCATGGTGGGGAGGGAGTAGGCCAGGAGGTACAAAGCAAGGCTCCTGCCCTGGTCTGATTGGAGAAACTGTTCCTCAGGAGGCGGGAAGTCCTCCCACTTGTCCGATGGACAAATGAAGGTCCAATCAGGAAGGAACAGCAAGCAGGCGTGACTCAGGTCCTGCCTCCCCCACCTAGGCCCTAGTGGAGGCCCTTACAAGCTTTGCCTTCTTCTTCTTCTTTGGATAGTCCTGGGGCTTGAATTCAGGGTCTGAACACTGTCCTTGAGCCTCTTTGTGCTCAAGGCTAGTGCTCTAGCACTTAAGCCTCAGCACTACTTCCAGCCTTTTCTGTTTATGCGGTACTGAGGAGTCAAACCCAGGACTTCATGCATGCTAGGCAAACACTCTACCACTAAGCCAAATTCCCAGCCCTTGCCTTCTTCTTCATGGCCTCCACCTCCTTCCTCTTCATCTCTGACTGGATGACACTGAGGAACTCCTCTTCAGCCGTGATGACCAGTTCATCCAAGTTTATGCCCATCTCTTCATCCTTGTGGTCATCATCCTTGCTCTCGGCTTTGCCTTTCTCCTTCAGCCGCATCTCTCGTTGCCTGGCTTCCAGAATCTTCTCTCGCCGGGTCTCCCGCTCAAATATCTGGGACACACAAGGACAGAGTCTGGTAGGAAAGGGTAGGCAGCTGGCAATGCCAGCTCAGGGCCAGATGTCTGCACACAGGGTTAAAGCCAAGGACACAGGGCTAGTTGGGTGCTGGTGGCTCACACCTGTAACCTCAGCTACTTAGGAGGATGAGGTCTAAGGATCATGGTTCCAAGCCAGCCTTGGCAGGAAAGCCTGAAGTGGAGCTGTGGCTCAAGTGATAGAGTACTAGCCTTGGGTGGAAAGGGCAAATGGACAGTGCCCAGACCTTAAGTTCAAGCCCTGATACTCCCAGACAGACAGACAGACAGACAGACAGAGGAGAGGAGAGGAGAGGAGGCTGACTAAACACTGGTCCTGGAGGACTGGAGCAGGGATATAGTTATTCGCTTTCAGGGAGCATGGGGTACATAGGTTACAAGGTAAAGACCGTCCTCTGGACCCTGAGCCCTATGGAGACCCAGCACAGTGGTAAGACCCCTGTCTCCAGCAGAACCAGGATGCTCTCCCAGGACCAGGCCTGCATCCCTGCTGCTGGGGAGTGCACTCAGGGTTGGGAGAAGCAGTCATGGATGCAGTGTCCCTGAGGTTACTTCCATCTGTCTTCTGTATTGAATGGCCCTGCTGTCAAAACCTTCTATTGTTTGGAATTAGCCACATGGACCCAGTCAAAAGGACTTTGATTTACGACCAGGAAATGGAGGCCCTGGGAGGCAAAGGCTTTGGCCTGGGCCCCAGAGCCACACAGGGGCTGAGGCAGGCCAGGTGGACCCCATGCTGCCCCCTGGAGGAGGGAGGTGGGGACACATCTTCCTCATTGCTGTTCTAGGTGCCGGGTCTGGGCACTGCTCACACAGGGCCCTCACCTGGGCGCCTGGCACTTACGGAGGAAGCTATGTTCTTCTCATTCCTCTGGAGGGTGGAGAGTCCGCTGGAAACTTCCAGAAGGGTGGTTGTCCCCAGCTGGGAGCCACAGGCAATGAGACACCCATTGTCCTGCACCCGGAGGCAGAAGAGGGCCTCGTCACACACCTGCTGGGAGGACAGCGCGGGTCAGGAAGAGGAGGAGGAGGAGCACGAACCCCTCTGCGTGGTTACCTGGCTCCGGGGAGCTTCACCTTCCACTCCACGCAGCACCCATGGTGACCCCCACTGCCTGATGCGGTGACATTTGTTGGGAGACTGTCAAGATCTATGGTCTCTGCTGGGCACAGGTGGCTCACGCCTGTAATCCTAGCTACTCAGGAGGCTGAGATCTGAGGATCAGGGTTCAAAGCCAGTCCAGGCAGGAAAGCCTGTGAGACTCTTATCTCCAATGAAGTACCCCCAAAAATCAGGAAGCGGGGCCATGGCTCCAATGGGAGAGCACCAGCCTAGTGCAAAAGAATTAAATCCAAGAAGGATGGGGGGGGGGGGGTGTGTGCACATGACCTTCAGGCTGAGGGCAGGGTCACACTGCTTGAACACAATGTCCCAGATGTCCAGGGTCCCATCCATCTTGGTAGTGAAAAAAACTGCCGGCCTCACAGGGCTCCAGGCTCCATCGGTGAGGTAAGCCATGTGGTATCTGGGGGAAGGGGAGATAGTGCCATGAGTCAGGGTCTGTCATGGGGAGGGATGGAGAGCCTACTCGGAGCTACATACAGCTCCCTTCACCCCAGGCCCTCTTGGGCTCCAAGGCCTCAGAGTCTTTTCTGGGCTGGAAGTTCTTCCTCGGGTCTAACTTGTAGCATGAAAGTCTTTCAAATCCACAGCTCACAGGCTGCTCCTGACAGGGCTATGGGGATGGTCAGGTGTGGATCCTTCTCAGATAACAAGGCCACAGGCACATCTGTACAGCTGTACCTGAACCCTGTCATGGAGCCATACATAGGTGTGGTCAGAGAAAGGGCAGGAAGGAAGTCACAATTCTGAGATCCCAGGAAGGCTATACTTCCTATCTACTTGCTTTGGATTTCCTCAACTCTTATTAGTGAACATAGAACTTAAATAAAGAAAACCAGCCGGGCTGGTGGCTCACACTGAGGAGGCTAAGATCTGAGGATCATGGTTCAAAGCTCAGCCCAGGCAGGAAAGTCCATGAGATTCTTATGTCCAATTAACCAGCAAAAAGCTGCAAGTAGAGGTATGTCTCAATGGTAGAGAGCCAGCCTTGAGTGAAAAAATTTAGGGATAGCACCAGGCTTGAGTTCAAGACCTAGAATTGGCACACATGCACACACGCACACACACATACACACAAAGTAAAAACAAAAATAAACTTTAAAACAAAATAAATCCTCCACATACACACATGTACATATATTTACACATATGTGCACACACGGTAGAGTTCAAGTCTTCCACTCAACCCCATTCTCCCTTCCTGCACAGTGTTACAACTCCAGCTGTGTCGTGTTGACCATGGCTGAGACTTCATTTCCGAGCCATGTGTGCAGTGGTGTGCAAACAACCAGGCTACAGCTAAAAATGATCAGGATAAAAGAAACACTGGAGATTTCTGACAAGCAATGAATAATTGTTTTTTTTTTTTTTTTTTTTTTTTTTTGGGTCCGGTCGTGGGGCCTGAACTCTGGGCCTGGGCGCTGTCCCTCAGCTCTTCAGCTCAAGGCTAGCGCTCTACCACTTGAGCCACAGCGCCACTCCCGGCTTTTTTCTTTTTGCTTATGTGGTGCTGAGGAATCGAACCCAGGGCCTCATGCATGCAAGGCAAGCGCTCTACCACTGAGCCACCTTCCCAGCCCCTTGCAATGAATAATTGTGAGGGCAAATATATTCCAAATGTTTCAGGGGACATGTTTAAACTTTAAAAAAAAAAATGATTCATTGTTTTTACTGACATTTAAACCTCACTGGAATTCTGGTTTGGTTTTGTTGTTGCTTGTTGGATTTTTGTGACAGACCTGGGGCTTGAACTCAGGGCCTAGGCACTGTTTCTGAGCTCTTTTGCTCAAGGCTACCTACCATTTGGAGTCACAGCTCCACTTCCAGTTTTCTAGTGGCTCATTGGAGATAAGAGGCTCACAGACTTTTCTGCCTGGACTGGCTTTGAACCCTGATTCTCAGATCCTAACCTCCTGAGTAGTTAGGATTATAGGTGTGAGCCACCAACACCCAGCTTCTGTCTTTTTTATTTCCTCATTTTATTTCCCAAGCCTTGAACTCTGGTCCTGGGCACTGTCTCAGAGCAAGGCTAGGCACTCTACCACTTGAGTCACAGTGCCATTTCCAGCTTTTACTGTGATTTAATTGGAGATAAGAGTCTCACAGACTTTCCTGCCAGGGCTGGCTTTGAACCACAATCCTCAGATCTGTTGCCTGAGTAGTTAGGATTACAGGTGTGAGCCACCAGCTTCTGGCTTTATATGCTAAATGCTATCAGCAGACAGGTCTCTGAAGTGGCCCCTTGGTCCCCTCCCCTCACTACACCCTATCCCGTCCCTGGCACCCCACCCCTACTCACTTGGTCCACATAATGGATGACTCCCGGCTATCTTCGGACCAGATTCGGGCTGTCCAGTCACCGACGGTCAGGAAGTTCTTGGGGTAGAAGGGGTTCCTCTGGAGGGCGTAGATGGGGCCATGGTGGCCGGAGAAGGTACATACAATCTTTTCCGCGGGGGTCTTGGCCTTGCGGTTGCAGGAAATGACGATCCCCTGCTCAGTGCCCACCATGAACTTGGTTGGCTGTGGAAAGGGTGATGCACATGGAAGGTGCCATGAGACATGAACTCAGGGCGGGGCTGGTACCAGGGCTCTGCCACTATTCCCAGGACCCTGGGTCTCAGGTCTGCTCAGGCAGGTGTTCTGCTCCTAGAAGCTGTCCCTGCCCTTCCCAGCCTCCTTAGATCTCCCTCTGGGGAACCTGCTTGATGATCCTATGCTTAATGAAGCCCTCCCTGGCTCTTCCTGTCCCCAGAGACTAGCTAGTGTCCATTAAGTAATTAGCCAGAAGGATCCTGGAATGTGTGCAGATAGAAGAAAGAAGGCCCAGAGTGGAGTGCGGGGGAGGTGGGGGGGGGGGGCCCTGATCACTCAGAGATAGTCAGAAGCCAAGTGCTGGTGACTCATGCCTATAATCCTAGCTATTCAGGAGATTCCGATCTGAGGACCAAGATTCAAAGCCAGCCTTGTTAGGAAAGTCCATAGGACTCTTATTTTCAATTAACCAGTAAAAAGCCAGAAGTGGAGTTATAGCTCAAGTGGTAGAGTGCTAGCTGTGAGTAGAGAAGTTAAGGGACAGTGCCCAGGCCCTAGGACTTCAAGCCCTAGAATTGGCACACAAATTAATAGAGCCAGTTGCTGGTGGCTTGCACCTGTAGTCCTAATGACTCCGGAGGCTGAGATCTGAGGATCGCAGTTCAAGCAATCCGGGCCAGGAAAGTCAGAGAGACTCCTGTCACCAATTAATCACCAGAAAATGGGAAGTAGCACTGTGGCTCAAAGTGGTAAAGCAAAAAAGCTCAGGGAGAGCACTCAGGCCCTGAGTTCAAGCCTCACAACTGAAAGATAGATAGATAGATAGATAGATAGATAGATAGATAGATAGATAGATAGATAGATCCTGTTCAGTTTAAGACTATCCTCTGTTCCACTGGGAGAATGGTGGCCTTCCTCAAGAAGCTCTGCTGCCCCCTACTGGAAGGTTGTTATAAAGCCCACAGAGGAGGGACTCAGCCATGAAGGCCCTTTGAGGGCCTGGCTGAGGCAGAGTGTAGGTGGGGAACAGGTATCCAGACAAAGGGAATAGAGGAAGGCAGAACAAGAAACACTCACCAACGTAGACTCGAACTCCAGGGAGATGGCACCCAAGGCATTTTCCAGATTCTCCTTTCTGGTGATGTCCATGATCACAACCTCGGTGGGCTCACTTATCTTTCGGATGTCCCACCACATGACCTGGCAAGGAGGCCAACTCTGAGGCCTCGAGGTCTCTTTGCCCCCTGTCTGACTTCCCAGGGCACAAAGGATGTGGGTACCATGAGCAAACAACCCTCTGAGACCCGCTGCTGTGGGCCACAGGTCCCAGACCATCAGTAACAATGACTAGCTGCAAAAAGAAAAATCCCGATGCCGTGGCCTCACCCCAGCCTTGCCAGGTGTGGGCCCAAGAATCTGCATTCTTCAGGGCTCCTCACATGCAGCGTGACAAAAAGCAGACTTAGGATGTGACTCGGTAATGAATGCTGCAGAAAAATCTGCGCCTGTGTACGAAACTCCAGCTATCGACATATTCTTCTGCTATGCATTTTCCCATAACCACAAAATGTAAGATCCGCTTAAATAAATTACGAGATAGCTGGACCCTCCTGACCCTGGAGGCAGGGGGCAGCGGTTTATGACGTGTGAGACCAACTCCAAAGGCAGAGCTGGAAACTAGCGCCCTGGGGAGGGGCTGGGGGTTGTGGACACAAGACGGGAGCAGGATTTCCTGGACTGTCTTTTTGTCTGTTTGAGGTTTGGTTTGTGTGCACATTATTATGCTATTAGGCTAAAGGGCTGGAGGAAGTTGGTATAGCTCAGAGGTAGGAGTGCTTGCCTAGCATGATTGAAGCCTTAAGTTTGATTTCCAGAACTGCAAAATAAAATAAGATACAAAGAAACATCCTCTGGATGATGTGTGTGTGTGTGTGTGTGTGTGTGTGTGTGTGTCTGTCTGTCTGTCTGTCTGTCTGTGTCTGTATGTGTGTCTCTGTGTATAATTGGAAGTAAGTCTCATGGACTTTCTTGCCCTGGCTGGCTCTAAACCAGTATCTTCAGATCTCGGCCTCCTGAGTAGCTAGATTACAGGCACTAGCCTCTGATGCCTGGATGGATTATTTCTTTTTAATGCACTGCTGAGGATTGAACCCAGGGCCATGCACATGCTCAGTGCTGAAGATTGAACCCAGGGCCTTGCACATGCACAGTGCTCAGTGCTGAAGATTGAACCCAGGGCCTTGCACGTGCACAGTGTTGAGCCTTGCACATGCTCAGTGCTGAAGATTGAACCCAGGGCCATGCACATGCTCAGTGCTGAGGCTTGAACCCAGGACCTTGCACATGCACAGTGCTCAGTGCTAAAGATTGAACCCAGAACCTTGCACGTGCACAGTGCTGAGCCTTGCACATGCTCAGTGCTGAAGATTGAACTCAGGGCCTTGCACAGTGCTCAGTGCTGAAGACTGAACCCAGGGCCTTGCACATGCTAGGCCAGTGCTTACATCCCCAGGCCCCTGGGTGATTCTGAGGGACAGCAGGGAACCATGTGTGTGAGCCCTGCCCTCTTCCCCGGGCCTGGCCGGCTGGTACCTGCCCATCTGTGGAAGCCGAGAAACATTCAGTGCCTGTCTTCGACTGCAGCCAGATACTGCCGTACACAGGATCTCGGTGGCTAAACTCGATGGTGGACAGCTCTGCCACCAGGCTGCCCTTGCGTGTGTCCCAGAAGGCTGGTGAGAGGGAAGCAAGCGGAGGTGAGGGAGATGCAGGCTTCCCTCCCTCAGGGGGAGAGCAGGGCTGCATGGCTGGCCTCTCTAGTTTTGGCAAGTATGTGGATTTCCCCCCCCCCCCCAAACCAAAGCTAGGTCCTGCTGGATGCTAGTGGCTCACACTTGTAATCCTAGCTACTCAGGAGGCTGAGATCTGAAGATTATAGTTCAAAGCCAGCCTTGGCAGTAAAATCTGTGAGATTCTTATTTCCAATTCACCAGCAAAAAGCTGGAAGTAAAGGTGTGGCTTAAGTGGTTGTAGCACCAGCCTTGAGTGGAAAAACTAAGGGAGATCGAGAGCCCTTGAGTTCAAGCCCCAGATACCGGCATAATAGAGGCTAAGTTCCAATCAGCTTTGAGTTTTCTGAATCTCTGGAAGAGATCCATGGAGTGCAAGCCTTACTCAGAGTGCTGTGTCCCTACTGTGTGCTGAGTGTGGCCTGCCACGGTGGGGAAGCCTCTGGGAATAGACTGGCCAGTCCCAGGGGAGGTGGAAGGGGACTTGCATGATGCCCAGACCTTGATGGCTACCGTAGAAAGAAATGGACAGGGTGCTCCGGCAGGCCTTGGGCATGAACTGACAGGGAGCTAAGATGGAGGGCGGGCCTGCGGCGGAACAGGCCAGGTAGAGGAGTAAAGACAGGCTCTACTTAGGCTAAAAGCACACCAAGAAGCCCTGGTCAGAAGATGTGGGCAAATAGAATACAATTGATATGAGCTTCTAGACCTTTCTTTGCTGCCTCCAGAGAGCAACTCTGTCTCTACTGTGACTGTGCAGGGTGCTTTGCCCACAAAGCCGAGGCCTGTCTGCTTTCTGTCCTCGTGGATGGATTCGGTTTTCATTTCCCTGCGCATGCACACGGGTGTGCGTGCACCCAGGACCTGCCCTCTTACTCTGCCCATTCTGCTTTTGCAGAAGATCAAAAGCATCAGAAACTTTGACTTAAGAGCCCTTAAGATAGAAGCCTTAGTCAGGCACCAGTGGCTTACTCCTGTAATCCGAGCTACTCAGGAGGTTGAGATCTGAGGATGGAGGTTCGAAGCCAGCCTGGGCAGGAAAGTCTGTGAGACTCTTATCTCTAACTAGCAAAAAGCTGGAGGCGGAGCTGTGGTTCAATGGGCAAATTGCCAGCCTTGAGCATATAAAGCTCAGGAACAGTGCCAAGACCATGAGTTCAAGCCCTAAGACCAGCACACACACACACACACACACACACACACACACACAGGTCTGGCCTGTGCTTTCTTGCTTGGCATGCTTGGGCATGGCAGCCCCTTGGGGTCCTGTGCCCTCAGATACCCTCCCAGCCCCTTCCTCCAGCAGCACAGCTCCAGAGCCTAGGCTGCACTGAGCACTGAGTGGGACATGAATAATGAGTAAGGCCAGGCTCCTGAATAAATCATGGCAGCGCTGCTCTGCTCTGGTCTTTCTGGAGTTCCGGCACCCAGATAATTTGGCAGGGAAACTGACAGGAGCCCTGGTCTGATCCACGGCCTCTGCTTCTCAGAGAGGAGGCTGCAGCTCTGAGGCGGAGGCCAAGGGCCTTAGAAGACCTGCCCAGCCTGGCCCAGAGCATATGCTCCTCTCCTCCCCTCCTCTCTGACGTCCAAAACCATCCAGGTCTCCCCATGCATCTCCCAAGATGGGGTTCCATAGTGCTCCCACTATCCCTTAGACTTGGTCCCTAGTATATTTGGGGAAGAAAAATGTTCCTGGGGTTTGAACTCAGGGCCTTATTCTAGCTGGGCAGGGACTCTACTGCTTGAGTCATGTCCTTCTCAACTCTTTCTTTGCGCTGGGGATTTGAACTTTGCACTTGTTCAACTTGTTTGCTCAACTGGTGCTCTACCACCTGAGCCATGTCTCCAGCCTGGCTTTTTGCTGGTTCTTTAGGAGATGGAGTCTAGCAGGCTTTTCTGCCTGAATTGGCTTTGAAGTATGATCCTCTGCACCTCAGCCTTCTGAGTAGCTAGGATTCCAGGTGTGCAGCACCACACTCGTCAGCTCTGATTACTATTATTATTTTACATGGTTATTACAAAATTGATGCACAGAAATGTACTATTTTGTAAGTCAGGTAAGGAGTGCATTTCTTTTTGGACAACGTCACTCCTTCCTTCCCTAGCTCTGATTATGTTTGAGATAAGAGTCTCATTTCCCCCCCCCCATCCCCCCTCATCCCTCCCCCTCCCCAAGTAGCAGGGAGGGCAAGCCTCATTAAGTTACTCTGAGCTTTTTCTGTGGAGACGGGGGCTTGGGATGGCCTCTAACCTCGATCCTCCTCATCTCCCATCTTCCGAACAGCTAGGATTATAGACCTGAGGCTCAGTACCCAGTCTTGATAGTTGTTAAAAGCCTTTTTATTTTGTGCTAATATTAGACTTACTTAGAGTGATCACACCATGGCTAATTATTGGCTGAGAGCCGGGGTCCCTCCTTACCTATCTGCCCATTGTAACAGCCCCCCAGGAGCACGTGGGTGTCTTTGGGGTTGTACTCCAAGGTGACGAGCGGAGAGGAGGGCTTCAAGGCAATCTCAGGCCTATTGGGGTTTTCTATAGAATGGGAAGAAAAAAAAAGTCACATCAGGCTGGAACAGAAAAGACAGGGTCAACTGGTTTAACCTCTTCTACAGGTGGGGGTGGCAAAGGAGCCAGGATGCCCCTCTTCTACCTTCTTGGCTCTCCCCTACCCTCTCTTTTTGGCAAGGGGGGGTTACCTGTAGTAGGACTTGAACTCAGGGCCTCAGGCTCAAGGCTGGTGCTCTACCATTTGAGCCACAGCTCTAGATCTGGTTCTTTGCTGAAGATAAGAGTCTCAAGGATGGGCTGGGAAGGTGGCTCAAGTGGTAGAGTGCTTGCCTTGCATGCATGAGGCCCTGGGTTTGATTCCTCAGTATCACATAAGCAGTAAAAACTGGAAGGGGCGCTGTGGCTCAAGTGGTAGAGCACTCGCCTTGAGCTAAATTGCTGAGGAACAGCGCCCAGGCCCAGAGTTCAGGTCTCATGATTGACAAAAATAAATAAAAAAAAGAATCTCAAGGACTTTCCTGCCTGGGCTGGCTTCAAACTGAGCTCAGATCTCAGCCTCGTGAGGAACTTCAAGGACAGGTGTGAGCCACCGGCACCAGGTAGAGCACCTATGGAGCCTAGGCAGGGGCCTAGGTTCAATCTCTAGCACTGGAAGAAAAAAATTGACACAAAAAAGTCAGGAATTGAGAGGGATTTCCTGCTCCTGACTGGACAGCACCTGAGCCCAGGCAGGAAAGGAAGTGGACACAACAGGACCGGAAGAGTGCCTTCCCTCAGGCCTGTATCTTTGACTCTCTTTCTAGCCTCTGGACTGGTTCCCTAGTCCTCCCTGGGGCCTCCCGGTGGAACCCCCTCTTCTCCTCACCCAGGTCCCAGATATAGGATTCATAGCTCATGTCCTCAGGCACTCGCTGGAAATCCAGGCACGAGTACGCCACTGCCAACTTCCTGTTGCCATCTGGGTGCCAGGAGAGGTGCGTGGCTGTCCGCTTGATTTCTTGAGGGTCCCTTCAGAGGGGGGAGCAAGGAGGGCAGAAGACTGAAAGGTGGGGCTCCCTCAATTCCTTACTGAGTAGATTTGTTTTTCCTTACAAAGCTCCAATATATCCTTCAAAATCTCCTTCACTCAGATACAACTGATTTTACAAATAAAGTTGTCAAAACTCCCATAAATGGAAAAACCATCCAAGCCAGCCTGGGCAGACAAGTCTGGGACACTCTTTTTTTTTTTGGGGGGGGGGGGTCTGGTCGTGGGGCCTGAACTCTGGGCCTGGGCTCTGTCCCTCAGCGATTCAGCTCAAGGCTAGTGCTCTACCACTCGAGCCACAGTGCCACTTCCGGCTTTTTTCTTTTTTCTTATGTGGTGCTGAGGAATCGAACCCAGGGCCTCATGCATGCAAGGCAAGCGCTCTACCACTGAGCCACCTTCCCAGCCCCAGGGAGACTCTTATCTCCAATGAACCACTAGAAAACTGGAAGTGGCGCTGTGGTTCAAAGTGGTAGAGTGCTTGCCTTGAACAAAAGAGCTCAGGGACAGCACCCAGGCCTTGAGTTCAACCCCCATGACTGACAGAAAAAAAGAAAGGCCACATTGTTCACCACTCAACTACATGACATTCTGGAAAGCGCCAAACCAAGAGATAATGAAAAGACCAGGGGTTGGAGGAGGCAGGCAGGGCAGCCTTCGGCTAGAGGACTCCCCTGGACAGTGAAACCATTCTGTAGCATACTGTCATGGTAGAAACATCACTCATTCGACATTTGTCACAACCCACAGAATGTGACCAATCCCAAGGAATCCCAGAATATCACTTCTGTAATTCTAGCTATTCAGGAGGCTGAGATCTGGAGGATCACAGTTCAAAGGCAGCCCAGTCAGAAAAGTCCATGAGAATCTATCTCCAATTACGCTTAATGGTAATGTCAGGATGGAAGTGTGGCTCAGGAGGTAGAGCACCAGCCAAGCAATTATATGGATTAAAAATGAAGCTCTCTGAGTTCAAACCCCAATATCAGACACCCCCCCCCAAAGAAAATAAAACAATAAACTATGGACTCTGGCTGTTGATCCCATTCGTTTTACCAGCTGCATAGTATTCCCTAGGTGTACCAGAGTTGCTGGGCAGCCTGTACTGATGGACTTAGCTTGTTCCAGCTCTGGCCAACACACACACACACATACACACACACACACACACACACACACACACACACACACACACACATTCCTGCTGCAAGGAATTCCTATATGCAGGGATTTCACACGCATAACACCGATTAAGACCTGTGGTCAAACTGCTGTCCTTGGAGTTGACACCCAGGAACGTAGGACGAGTGACCTCTCTGCCCTCCATGCTGTGAGGTCCAGCGCTTCTGGCTGACTCCAGGGCAGGAACTAACCCCACCTGTACACAGCCTGCACATCCTTGATGCTCTTCCCCACTGGGGGTGGGGTGGGGGAGGGGGCACGAGGCACATCTCTGTTGGGCACCTGTCACTCTGCCCCTGGTGAAGTGAATAATGCCCAGGGCATGGAGCGCCCACCCGGGGGACTGGCAGTGGCCCAGAGCCTGCTTCCAGGGGAACTACCTGAAGACATTGAGTGTTTTGGCTGAAGGGGCCTCCTCCGTCACCTCCACAGCTTCCTCGTCATCGAAATACTCCTCGTAAATGTTGATGGCATTGTTCTGCTTGATGCAGTGCTCCATGATCTGGGGGGAACATACCGGGAGTCCTTTGCCCATCCTTCTCTCTGTGCTGCTGCTTTTTTTTGGTCGGTCGTGGGACTTGAACTCTGGGCCTGAGCGCTGTCCCTCAGCTCTTCAGCTCAAGGCGAGCGCTCTACCACTTGAGTCACAGCACCACTTCCAGTTTTCTAGTGGTTTATTGGAGATAAAGAGTCTCACAGACTTTCCTGTCCGGGTTGGCTTTGAACTTCTATCCTCAGATCTCAGCCTCCTGAGTAGCTAGGATTACAGGCGTGTACCACTGGCACGAGGCACTTTTTTTGTGTGTGTACCAAGACTTGAATTCAGAACCTCCTGCTTGCCCACCTTGCTTGGTCACAGCTGTCATGCTACTACTCGAGCCACACCACCTCCAGACCTGCTTTTTGTTGGTAATTTTTTGGAGCTAGAGTCTAGTGAACTTTGTCTCCCTGGGTTGGCTTTAAATAGCTCTCAGCCTCCTGAAGAGCTGTGATCACAGGTGTGAGCCACCAGTGGCTGACTCAGTTTGTGCATTTTGGATGGACGGGGGCAGTATTTATTGATGGATGTTTGAGGGCAAAGCGGTATAAGGATTGTCATTCTCCCTCCCCTCGATAGACACAGAAGCCCACGAAGGTCAGGAACGGCAGGGGTATGGCAGGCCCGGTGGACACTGAAGTTGGGGTGAGGCCCGTGGCTGGAGCTGGGGGAAGGCTTACGCAGCCCAGCTGCATGATGGCGTTGATGTAGTTCTCATCCTTCTCCACTTTCTTGCGGAATCGGATGGTCTGCTCCAGCTCCAGGGGGTTCACGTCCTTGGGCCAGCCCCCCTCGACGTGATTAACCCCCCGGGTCTCCATCTCGAAGCGCTCTGTATTGGCCTGAACAGAGAGCCAATAGGTGAGCGCCACAGGAGAGAAGACACTGGCCACCTCTACAAACCATGACCCTGGGCTTGCAGGACCCTGAGCAACCAAGGATGGACTACCAAGGGCCCTCGCTAAAGCTGCTTAGCGAGAACTTTCTAATTTGTGCCTGGTTTGGGTTGCTACTTATTTTGTTTTGCGTGGGGCTTGAACACTGGGCTTGGGCTCTGTCCCTCAGCTCTTCAGCTCAAGGCCAACACTCTACCACTTGAGCCACAGTGCCACTTCCATTTTCTGGTGGTTTATTGGAGATAAGAGTCTCATAGACTTTCCTGCCTGGACTGCCTTTGAACCATGATCCTCAAATCTCAGCCTCCAGAGTAGCTAGGATTACAGGCATGAACCAAGGGTGCCAGGCTCATCTAAACTAATTACACTGGGACCAGCCACACCCAAATGGAAGGTGTTTTGGTCCAGTTGAGCATGGCTGTCACACAGGTGTTTAGGGACATGATAAAGTGGGTGATCTCATTCTGCCCAATTTTCTCTCAGCAGCTACTGACCTAGCCCCCTGGTTCATGGGCGGGACTTCTCTGGGTCTCCCCAGAGCATCTAGAACCCCACGCACCCTGGCTGGAACTTCCTGTGGCCTACTCCTAAGAGATGGGTTCTCTTTCCTCTGAATCCCCTGAATTCCTCCCCCACACCCAATGCCCAAAGTGACTCAAGGCTGGCCTTCCCCACTTCTAGCACCTGTACAAGGCTATTGTCACCGGCTCCCAGGGGGCCAGGACACCTGGTTGCTCTGGCCCCCAGCCCGGGGCATGGGAAGCGGGACCCACCTCGTGCTCTGACATGCTGGCGGAGCACTGGATGCCCTTGTCCACTGGGTTGCGCTCCACGAACTGCAAGGCCAGGTCCGGGTTGGGCGTGATGTCGATGTTGAGCTCGGCCTGGCGGTCTGAGAAGTTGCATTGCTTCCCAAACTCACTGCGCTTCTTGAGATACACGTACACAATCTCCATGGCAACAGCTGCTGCAGGGGGGAGAGGGGGAGACAGGGCTATGGGGCTGCACCTGCCCCTGCCCCTACTCCTGGGGCAGCTCCAGTGGTGTGATCTGGCTTCCAAAGGGTGGCAGAGACCCTACGGGAGATCCCCCCCCCCCCCAGAAGCTACCTTTGTATTTTAAAACCCCATCTGAGCTGCAGTGCTGGTGGCTCACACCTATAATCCTAGCTACTCAGAAGGCAAAGAAGTGAGGATCATGGTTTGAAACCAACTTAAGTCTGTGAGACTCTTATCTCCAACCAGCAAAAAACTGCAAGAGGAGGTGTGGCTCAAGTAAAAAAAAAAGTGCCAGTCTCTGAATTCAAGTCCCAGTACTGGCACAGCACAAAACAAAAGCCAACCAACCAACCAACCCAGCATAATGGCAAACTGCTTCTAGCACCAACTTGAGTCAGACTCTAGCAGCTTCTCTCCTGGGTGGAAGCAGTGACAGAGGGGTGAGGGGAGGCGCCCACAGCAGCAGGGGGCCCTCAGGTCTTTTTCTTGTCAGTTGTGGGGCTTGAACTCGAGTCCTGGGTGCAGTCCCTGAGCCTTTTTGCTCAAGGTTAAGAGCTCTACCACTTTCAGCCACAGCACCACTTCTGGTTTTCTGGTGGTTAATTGGAAATAAGAGTCTTATGGGCTCTCCTGCCCAGGCTGGCTTAGAGCAGCGATCTTCAAATCTCAGCCTCCTGAGTAGCTAGGATTACAAGTCTGAGCCACCAGTGCCTGGTTCCTGATATCTTTCTTTTACGCTAAGATAGGACTTTGGGGAAAAAGCATGCAAAGTTAATTAAATTCTTCCCCTGTGCCTCCCAGGGAAGGTTGCAGGACCTAGCATTGCTTCAGCCTCTTTCCCTCGCTGTCTCTGTCTTTTCCTTGTCTGTCGGTGTGTCTGCCTGTCTCCTCTTTCCTCCCTCTTTCAACAAAGAGGCTTGGGAGAAGGAGGAAACTCCAGGAAGACAAAAATAGCCTCTTCATCCCCATCAGATTTTTAACAGTTTTGCTCTCCCAAGGCGGAGTCCTGAGGGAGAACACTGGCTTTGTTTTGGTTGGAGGCAGACAGAGGCTGGCCCCAATATGGGAGACCGCCCCAGCGCCAGCAAGGCATGAAGATGAATAGTGAGAGAGGTCAGCCAAGCGGGTGGAAGGGGAGGCTCCCCTTTCTTGGGAGACAATTAGTATGAGGCAGATGTCCCCATACTGTTCAGCAGGGGCTGAACAGAAGGCCTGGAAAGAGGGGCAGCAGTTGTGTTGACTGCTGCCTGGCTTTTCAGAGGGTGCCTGACCTCTGTGGGAAACTGGAGGCCTACAGGGCTGCACAGCACTCAGATGAGCTACCGGCCGGGAGTCAGACTGGAACCTTTACTCACTATCGAAATAAAATTCACAGTGGGTGTGGAGGTGCGTGCCTGTAATCTCTGCCCTTGGGAGTCTAAGCCGACCTAAAAGATGCTTTTGCTAGCTCCTACGAATTAACTAAAAGCTCCCCAACTTTTTGCCCTTAGATCAGAGCTATTCTCTACTGCAGTCAGTTTTGCAATCATCTTGGGCTGCAAGAAAGACTATATTCACTGATAAAGCATTGTGTGTGTATAGGTGTGTGTGGGGGTTGGGTATGTGGGTGTGTGGGTGTGTGCATGTGTGCATGCACCAGTACTGGAGTTTGAACTCAGGGTCTGGATGATGTCCCTTAGCTTCTTCACTCAAGGCTGGCACTCTACTACTTGACCTATACCTCTAATTTCAGTTTTTTGGGTGGTTAATTGGCGATGAGTCTCCTGGACTTTTCCTGCCTGGCCTGGCTTCACATCCTGGTCCTCAGATCTCAGCCTTCTTGAGTAGTTAGGATTACAGGTGTGAGCCACTATCCTATTTATTTGGCATATAGAGTGAATGGCTGGACCTAACTTTGAATTCCTTGACTTTGGGCCTAGGGGTCTAAAACTGACTTCAGGAGGGTGAAGCAGAATGATTGTGATTTTGAGGTTTCTCTGGGCTACATAGCTAATCCCTGTCTTACACACCCCCTTCACCCCATTGCTGATAGAATGGGCAGACTCATTTCTGGAGAAGAAAGGACCCCTGCGGCTTAACAGGAAGTGTGTTTCTCCAGTGTGGAGAAAGGCAGGAAGAGGGTCTCCATTCCTGGGCTGGTGGGGGAGGGAAGGGGAAGGCTGACCCCTGCACAGGACTCGGCCATAGAATAAGAGGAGGATGTTTTCCTCTTGTTCTAATCCAGGGGCAGTCCCAGTTTGTGTGCCCAGGACTGTCCAGCCCTACCTGGCAAACATGCAGTGGGGAGCTTCCTTCCTGCTGACCCATGGCTGACCCCTGGCACCTGGCATTCTGGGGTTCTAAGGGACTCACCTGGCCGTCAAAAGAGCCTTCCCTCCCCGCTGCTCACACTGGGCCCCTGCCCCAAGCTTGGTGGACCCAGGCGGGAAGGAGGAGGGTCAGGGCAAGGAGAGGCAGGAGGAGGTCCCAGAATTAGGAGAATGACATAGGCCTTTGGATCTTCCCAACAATGCTTCCTCCAACAATCTTCCTCCAACAATGCTCACAACTCAGTGCTGTGGGCGATCCCTGGGCTCTGTTCCCAGGTGTGGATAGCTCACACCTGTCATCCTAGCTACTTGGGGGCCTGAGATCTGAAGATCGAAGTTTGAAAACAGTTCAGGCACATGGCTAATCTCCAATTTACCACCCAATCAGGAAGTGGAAGTATATAACCCCAGGAGAGGGAGAGACAGAAAGAGGAGGAGAGTGAGGGGTGGGGGACAGGCAGACAGAGTCAGACACCGGGAGACAGAGACCTTGAGTTTAAGCCCTAGTCTTGTACACACACAAAGGCCAATGCCCTTCTACCACTTGAGCCACGCCTCCTCTGCTGTCTGAGAGGTGGCCTTCTTTATTCGCCCTCTATTTCCAGGGCCTCACACAGAGAAGCCTGAGCCTGTCTTCGTCACCTGCTGAGCGTGTGCCATTGACACCAACCTTCTACCTGGGCTCTCTACAGCTCCTCTCCCATTCTCCCTCTTCCTTTTTAAACCCCCAACCCCCTCCCAAAATAAATAAAGAGAAGACTTGAAACAAACAAGGGACTTGAAGAGGGACACGGGATCTGAAGGCTAGGAGAGGATGCACTTCCGCGGTTCAAGAGAAGGAGCAAACTAGGATCTTGTTGCAGGAAAAAACAACTGCATGGGCTATGAAGACTCAACCAACTGTGGGCTACCGACTGTGATCCTGGACAGTGGCACCTCTCAGCCAGAGAGACAGAAGAAAGGATTCAAAGTGAGGCATGGCTCAGAGGTAGACAGACCCCTTGCCTAGGAAATCCAAGGCCAAGAGTTCAAACCCTCCGTGCCCCCCACAAATGGCACCTAGCAGATGCACATCATTCTTTATTTCCTTCCCTCTCTCATCACAAATTTCTCTTCAGGGCGGATTTTCTACCCATCGAACTGTAAACCCAGCAGAGGTCTCACAGGGGTGCGGGGTTGGGGTGGGGCGCTGGGGCAGGGGTGCAGGAGGTTAAGGTGTTCGGGGTTGCAGGGTCCCGGAAGGGTCTCCAGGGCAGCGAGGACCCATGCAGTGGAGGGCATTGGAAAGGCTGGTCCTGACCCAGCACTCTGCAGAACGAGCCCAGAAGGACAGCACCCCGGGGGCGGGGGGATTGATGCACTATTAGTGATTATTACCCGTGGGAATCCCTCCTCTTCACCGATCGCTTTCTTCTTCAGGCCTGGACGGATCTCCCCGCGTCGACCCCTAAACCCCGGATCGGCTCCTCGGGTCGCTTCTCCCCCCTCACCACCCCGCCCGCCGCGTCTGCGTCCTGCACCGCTCAAACCGCTGGGAGCCGCAGAGTTTACCGGTTGCCTAGCAACCCCGGCCGGGCCGAGACGCCGGCCGCGGGGAGGCAGCACGGAGCGCTCCGTCCGCGGGTCCCGCCTCCCCGGCCCGGCCCGCCCCTCCCCTGCGTGTCTGCAGCGCGGAGCTGGGGGGGGGGGGAAGGGGGGGGGGAAGGTGGGGGGGCAAAGTCAGCCGAGTTACAAACCCAGCCCCTGGGGACACGGGATTCCACCGGCTTTGCCAAGAAGCGCATCCAAGACGCACAGATGCGCATCTGGCTGAGTCCCGAGAAAAGGCAAAACGGTTTCGGTCAGTGCTGGGAAAGCCCCGAGCCCTGGCTGACCCGGTGGATGGAGGCGGGCTCTGCTCTGCTGTCTGCTTCTGGTCTTGGCAGGCCACCTCGCCACTCCTTCCTGCAACTTCCTCCCCTTCCCACTTCCTCTGTAGCTTCTCCTGCACACAGCTGGCTACCTCGCCAGAACTCAGCATTCCCACGATTGTAGCTGGCACGTTGTCATTCGTCGTTGTGGTTCGCTGAAGGGATGAACGCTCCGGAAGGAATCGTGTTTCTTTATTATATGACCTTCAACAAGCTACTTCCCCCCTTCCCCCTTTCCTCCTCCTCCTCCTCCTCCTCCTCTTCCTCCTCCTCCTCCTCCTCCTCCTCCTCCTCCTCCCCTCCTCCTCCTCCTCCTCCTCCCCTCCTCCTCCTCCTCCCCTCCTCCTCCTCCTCCTCGTCCTCCCCTCCTCCTCCTCCTCCCCTCCTCCTCCTCCTCCCTTCTCCTCCTCCCCTCCTCCTCCTCCTCCTCCCCCCCTCCCCCCCCCCCTCCTCCTCTTTTCTTCTTGTTTTCTTTTGTGCCGATCCTGGGAGGTTTGAACTCAAGAGTCTCATGTTCTCACTTTAGCTCTTCTGCGTGGGTTAGTTTTGAACCATGAATCTCAGGTCTCAGGCTTTTCAATAGCTAGGATCGCAGGCATGACCCATCAGTGCCCAGCACTTTCCTCTTCTAACATCCAACTCTCCTGATCTGCAGAATGGGGTCACTGGCAGTTCCCACAGAATAATTTGAGAAGACACAGGGGAGTGTCCAGCCCCTCCATGAAGGCTGGGTGGATGGAGCGAGAGTGAAGC